TGCATAGTCTTTTATGAATCAACTTGAACTCGTCTGAACGTTCACTTATTGTGTCACTTTTCACTTCGCACAGTCAAGATGTTAACAAGTAATGAGAAATACCTCGGTAAAAGTTTCCTCATAACCTTGTGTATGAGAGATGTGGGAAAAGCTTAATTCACTTTAAGCTCACCTCCTACACTCCACATAATGGTTCGTGCTCGGCTCAACGCAGCCACCACAGGGAATTAGATCTGTCTTTTCGCTTCGTCTTCCAACACCGCTCTCGTTGTGTCCTTTAGAACCTTTCCTTACTTTAACTGCTGAGTGCTGCCATCATTCAAACATTCTTTTTACTAAAAAAAATAGCAATAATAATAAAAAAATCTTAAAGCAAACATTAAAAAATGAACCATAAGTTTTAAAAACAAGCAAACTTTCATGCAGAGGAGTGACAGCTGCAGGTTTTACATTGTAAAATAAAATCATTTAATATAATAATCGATTCAAGCAGCACATTTAGCTCTAACAAAATRTTTAAAACCTAATTTATGGATAAAATATTATTCGAGCATAATAAATGGAAACTTTTCAATGCAGTTAGATGCAATGCCAGAGTAAAATAATAAAAATTATTATAGATTACCGTACATGTATATATTTTATTTTACATTTCCAGTTCAATACTTCTGTAGCAACATGACGTTTTATAAAACTATATCTGCATCTGTTTCTCTCTAACTGAGGATTTGTAATGCATGAGAAGTATTTAATGATTTTACAGGTAATTTAATTTGAAAGTCTGAACATGCTCGTGTCTGGAGCAGGTAATGTGACAAATGTCACATCGATGCCTCGCTAACTCATTAATCTAATCCCASGACACACTGCTCGGGTCGTTTTTCACAAGGCTGAGCAACGTTTGGACTTTTCACAGCATCCAGAATCACTTCTTTAACCAGCGCAGCAGGACATCATCAACAAACTCATGGATTTTATAAAGGGAAATGATTTTAAAAATGTAATTTTGTTTCTGTCTCTTGTCTGGTTTGAAGGCGTTCTTACAATGGGCTGCTGCTCCAGAACTGTCCTCTCCAGGTCTCCCTGCTCCCAGAACTCTGCAGCCACAGAAAGTGCCACCTGGAGGAGGAGATTTTACACATTTTTAATGCTTACACAGTTAAATTACATCAATTTACTTAAAGCAGATATATGAGGCTTTTAAATCCTTTCTTTTCACATGTAAATCCTTCAGTTGGGTCTTTATAAAGTGGAACTACAAAGCTTTGGTCTGAATTCCTCCTTATTCTAACTTTTTAGTAGTTGGTTTTGTTACTGTTCCTTTGAGATGCTTCAAGCCCCGCCCCCCTCCTGCTTCCAGTCCGGTCCACTTCGGTTTGAGAGGGGGTTACGTTTTCTAGCTTACAGAAATGTTTTATTTACAATTTAATTTAACAACAGAAGACTTGTCCTTCCAGTTTTACATGTTGGAGCCAGAGTCTGACCCAGAACCAGAGTCTGACCCAGAGGAGAATTAAGACGAGGAAATTGTATTTGGTAAGTCCACATTACCACATTATATTTCACTATACCAGGATATATCTGTGCGGTGTGCTTTACGGTGGTATTCACAAAAAAATTAAGAAAGGAGAAACTAAATTCAACTTTTCTGCCTCCGAGAGAAGTCCACAACAAAATGTATTTAACAACTAAAAAAGTGGATTTTGCAGGATATGTTGTCTTTATTGCAGCCAGACAAAGTACTAAAACCAGTTCAATCACTTTTCAAAATAAAAGCATTAGTATCACAGGTGCTCAAAAATTCTCACTTTTTAATCAAATATTACAAAATTTTTAAAAACGCTGATTTCACAATATTATTTAAAAAAAGAAGTCTCATTCATCTCGTCAMAATCATTCTTTAAAGCTCTCACGAGGATGAGAGATCTGTTTTTTATAAATGATGAAACTGAAGTAGTTGTGTTAATTCTGATGCAGTATTGATCACACTGCTGTAAACGTTCAGCTGCTCTCTGCATACAGATTAGAAGCAGGTGCTGCTGAGRACAACAACAGTCAGATAAAAGGTAAAAAAAAAATGATGCTGTTCATTATGTTGACCTGGTAATGTTTAATGATAATGTGTTTTCTACATATTTCATTCAAATAAGATGCTGAGCTTGGCAGGTGGGGGATGAGGGGAATAAAAAGCAGCAGGTTGCTTTGATGCATGAGGTCATCAGGAACCTCTGAGATGAATGGAAGCGCCGACAAAACACCATTTGTTGCCTCGTTTATCTTTGGTTCTCTCAGAACCTCCACCTCCGTCTGGTTTTACTGCAGACAGATGAGGCTGAAGCTCAGGGGTTGTGCTGGGACCCACCTTGCTCTGGATCTCCCAGGGTTTGGCGATGGCAGAAAGATCACAGGCCGTCATCATCATGGCCCTGAACACACCACGCATGGCTGTCATTGTCTGTGTTTTCCTATTTTTGTGTGTGTGTGTGTGTACAGCTCAACCTACATGACAATCTCTTTGCGAGTGGTCTCAAGCATCATGTATTTGGTCCAGTCGTTCCAGTTCTCGTAGGTCTTGGACTGGTCCACGATCTTCTGGAACATGGTTCTCTTCCTGCACAGAAACAAACAGATCTGAGGAACGCTGAAGTCCAACAGAAATTTAACTTGGCAAACAGGAGGGATGTAAAGTATGGAGGACAGAAACTGACAATAAAAGCAGAAATATATAAATGGACCAATAAATAAATACACTTAAAATGCACCAATTAAATTTAAAAGGAGGTTTTTAGCTCATGTTTTATTATTTAACTG